CTGAGCAATTGAGCAAATGGATGGATAATTTCTTTGGGGACTCCATCATTAATAAAGAAACTACAAAGGGAATCTAAGAAGAATACTATCCCCAAACCACAAACTGATCTGGAGACCCTTTTTTCTTTTAAGTAATTCTGCTCTTATCCTTTCTGTAGTCTGAGGAAAGCTTTTATTACAGGCCCTAAACTAGGCTGTAATAAAAGCTCTCTCATTGTGAGAACCCTCATCAAACCCAGATTCGTTTTTCTTTTAAAGAGAGCTGATGGCTTTTTTAAGGAACTCTGCAGTCCAGGCTTATAAAACATATATTAACACCATGCAATATTTTAAACATAGAAATCTATCAGAAAACAGAATTCTACCTCAGAATTATACTTTACCAGATAGATATTTATTTCTTAGAGGTTTTAGAGCATGCCTAAGCCTGGGGCATTGCAAATATTTGAGTTACAGTCTTTAACATGTTCACTGAAGTCAGGCTTCAGTTTCTCTTCCTCATGCTGCATTTTGTTCAGGTTCCTCTGAAATGTCAAGTAACAGGAAGCTATAAGAAAAAAAAAAAAAAAAAGTAGGTGACCATTAGCCTGAGTGGCCCTAGCCCAAATGTTTTTATTTTGATCAGCTCCGTGAATTGCATTCAGGGTGACCTTTTTCTATGTGAAGTCTCAATGATGGACATAGGTTTAAAACTCTGGACTCTTTACTGCTACCAAGACAGAGTTCCATACATAAGCCCAAGAAATCATTAGAAATATTGTTGTATCTTTGCTTAAAAATTGAAAGATGTTATACACGGAAGTTAACCTCCCTTTCTCTCACAGAACAGTTTTGCATAAAGCTGTGCAAAGAAATGAAGGAAAAAAGCACAAGCTGGAGCTGAATAGTGGGGAACTAGGTTGAAAAATCAAAGTTTAAGGTAGGCTGTCTAATTTGGGTTGAAAAACTGTTTTTGGAAACCATCTGAGTAGGGACTTATACCTTAGCCTTCTATTCCTTGATAGGTAACCTGCCACTGCATATACTCTTCATGAGTTATTCAACAGATTTGACTGTCATTGCAGTAAACATACATTTTGACATTTGGAAAATCGCCACAGAACAGCAATTTGAGGCCAGTTTCTGTTAGTGGAGTAAATCAAAAGTGCATTCAGTAACTTAGTTTGAATATTTCCAGGTTTGCACTATGCTTAATTAAAGTAAAACCTGGCCCTTCGTCAGTGTTTCCTGAGGTTCTGGGAGGTAAAATTTCAACCTGAATAACCCAGTAGCGAATGAGATCTTGGAAGATGACAACAGACAGCAGGGAGGATGCTGGGTTATTTTCAGGGATACCTCTATTCATCACGTCACCCTTCGGTGCTCACTTAGCCTAAAAGTGAAGAGCAGTAAGGAATCTTTAGTCAGCCCATCCTATTTGCCAACTTTGGACCCTATTGGGCTATCAAGTCTAGTACTGTCTCTGCTCAAAACATAAATTTAATGTTGAGCAGAGATGGCCTGGAGCAATGGGCAGCCACAGAATCACTAACAGAGGAAGCAAAATTGGAATGATTCAAGGGGAGCAAACATAGGCTCCCGTGCCAATGTTCTTTCATATTGAAACAAAGCTTGAAGATTTTCTTTTGGCCAACATGTTTCTAAACTAGGTTCATAGGAAAAGGACAAAATAATGTTTAAGTAAAGAATCGGTTTTTTTTTACAAGCCACAAACTGTCAGTTGATAGTCTGATTCTCTTTCCCAGAAAACACTATGCCAGATAAGCAGAAACAATTTTCTTTAGAAATGTGGCCATGTAGAGCAAGGATAACTTTGGTTACATGATACAGATGCATGATGCATCTAATTCCATCTTTTTCCAAGAGCCATAAAATTTACTGGTATCCAAGGAAACACACAGACCTCAAATACCATAAGAAATGAGCTTTGTATATGGCTATGGTTGATGGATGCTGTTGGGCTGCAGCTGACATAGTGTACACAGAGATCCTGTGTAGCAAGATCCTTTTACAAGACAAATGCCTCCAGCAAAGGCACAAGAAAACTACCTGAAATGCAGTTCTAGTGGGGGAGCTTAGAGGAAATACTAAATTATTATTATTTAATATTATAATATATGCTAAATTAACATTTACAGTTCACACCTCACCAAAACACTGTCTTTCCACAGCTGCTTCCAGGCAAACATAGCTTCAAAACCCAAAGCTGTAGCAGCTCAAGTAACCTACAGATTAGACTGACCATTTACAAGAAACTGCATGAATTATATTATTTGTGGTTAAGTAACTCAGAATGGATAAACATATGAGGTAAAATATAGCCAAAACTAACAGAAGTCAAAATGAATAGACTTCAAGATTCAGTTAATGAATTTTCTTTAAAATATAATCAACTTAAAGTGAATTAATTTTCAGAATTGGAAAAATACCATTGTCTCACTCCAGTTCTATAAACAGGGGTTAATCACACCCACTAAGAATGAAGATCTAAGTCTGTATTCACTGTAGGAAAAGGATTTCTTTTGTCTAGCAATTAGTTGACACCTTTTGAATATGCTGAAGACTTTTGACTTTTTTTTTTTTTTTAGCGTTTCCCCTACTTTGTTGTCATGGCTTCTTTTTCCATGTGGAGTTGGAGAAAAACAGGCTAAAATGTAATTAATCCTTTCTGTAAATTTAAACTAACATCCATGTGAGCACACAAGCACTTCCTATCACATTCGGCTAACTGAAGCTCATTTATTTATTTGTTCCTGAGACACATTCAACATTGTTTCCAAGGTCTCTGACTTGTTATTTATTTGGGGTCTATTTATAGGATTTTTTTTTCTTTAGAAGGTGCCTTGTTGCTCCCTATTTGTCTGAAGTGTGTCTCTGTTGCCTTATACTGGGAGAAGCTTTTTACTGCAGACTCCCAAACCAGACATTGCATCACTAGCATCACTCAACAATCCGTGAGATTGGCTGATAAAAATAGTATTATGTATAACCTTTCATTCCTTGGTCATCTTTATTTGGGCATCTCCATCCAAGCCCAGGGACCTGAGAGCATGCACACAATTTATGATCATTATTTATTGCAAGTAATATGCCTAATAAATGGCTGGGACTAACAAGCTACTTGACCAAGCATTAATATCCTCACCTGACTGTGAGTGGGCAGTCAGTAAGGCAAGGAAGTGTCAGCCCCTGTTGCTCCTTGGATCAGGCTGAACTTTGCTGAGCTGCCATCTTCCTTCTCTGTTTTTCTACCTTTCCGGATCACAATTTTTCCTCTTGAGTATGTGATGATTTTGTCTTTTTATGGTTGAACTTAAGTTCTATCACTGGTCTCAGTTCCATACTTCTGTAGGGCTTTTATTTCTACTTCCCCATCTTTCCTTTTGCACGGGTGAGCAGTCTGTGTTACCTGTTGCTCAGGGGCCAATAGTGACTGCTACAGCTCAGCTTGACCTTCCCTTGGCAAAAGCTGGACCAAGTCCCTGGTGGGCCCTCTCACACCTTTGTTCTCGGGCCTTAGGGACCCGCTGCCCAGCATGTTTGAGACAGACAGCAGGAGTCTAATATTCAGCTCACATAAGTGAGGCCTTACCAGTATGGTCTGTAAGGGTCATGGCAAAGAAAAAGGGTTTCCCTGCAGCTGGGAGGCACAGAGAACAAGAGAGCTCCCTTTTCCTCCCACTCCTCTGCTCTCCCCTTCCTCCACCCCTGCTCCTGTGCGCACCTCTCCCGATGAGCTCGCTCTTTTGTTCCTCTCCCTCTCTCCCTCTTCAGTCCAGTGCAATCTCTTCCTCTCCTTTCTTTCCCCTTTTGTTTCCTGCCCCCAGTTTTATTTCCTACCCCCCTCACTGCTGTCCTGACACCACGATCACTCTCCCTTGAGTCATCCTCGCTTCTTCCCCCCGACGTCCCCCAGCACTCTGACGTCTTCCCCCTTCCTCCCCCCCCAGCTCTGACGGACGCAGCCTTCTCACCCCACTCAACCCTCCTCCTTTATAAAGAGATTTTCCTCTTTCTAATCCAAGAGACCCCCCCGCCCTTCCCACACTCCCCTCTCCCACAGCCTACACGCTCGCACCGCCAGGGGTGGCCTGGGATGGGGATGGGGATGGGACCGGCACGGGGGCTGCAGGAGGGGTCGTGGCGGGCGCGCGCTTTCCGCGCAGCAGGGAGGTTGCAGCGCGTGGGGCTCGGCGCGGGGCACCCCGCGTTCACGTCCGGGGGGACTTCTCACCCGCTGCACTTCACATACCATGACATTTCTGCTGCCTGGCTGCTTTTGAGCTTTCCTCCTTGCTTCTGAAACTGATAACGGGGAACAGATTAGTTCTGCTGATGCCAGAAAGTTAAACCTCTTACCGGGAAGAAAGAGCTGATCCTGAATACAGGAGGGGGTAGAAGGAGGAAGGGTCTCTTCCTTCCAACACAAAGACTCAAAAAATCTGCTTTGCTCCTGTAGTTATTACTTATCTATAGTTTGCTATTCTTTACTATAGTTTTGCAGCTTGTTTTTGAGTAAATAGAGACTTTGTAAAAACCTGCATGGCTAAGACCTTCTATCCTATCCTAGGTACCGAACTATTTCCTGATTGAAGAGTTTCCAAATGCTGGGTGCTTGGGGGAACTAAAAGAATTCTGTGTGCTGCAACTGATTTCTAACAACTAGTGCATAGTTTGTTTGCTTTTTGTTTTTCTTTTTTGTCTTTTTCTTTTTTTCTAATAAGTGCATACTTTTTAGCCACTTTTATTAATTTCATTTCCCATTGTAATTGCTGTTTAGAAGTCCACAGGCATTTTTGTTAGTATGTAAACTTATTTTCAATTACTTCTGAAACACTCATAATTTCACCAGAATAGTCTCGGCAATGATCATCAACATTTTCTTTATATGCTGCCTCAAAAAACATCTTTGCAAGGTTTGTTAAACACAGACATATTATTGCATTCTCTCCAGAGGTCTTAATGAAATAAGGATCAAAGAAAAGAGCTGGGACATCAACATGCCTTTTCACGTGGAGGGTCTGGTGGCCATAGTTGTATTCTACCTTGCTATCCTGGCAGTTGGAATATGGGCTGCTTGGAAAACCAAGAACACTGGCAGCGAAGGAGATCGCAGCGAAGCTATTATAGTCGGCGGAAGAGACATTGGCTTGCTAGTTGGTGGATTTACTATGACCGGTATGTAAAAAACTTCTTTTTTAATTTCTACACAATATTGTGGCTTGTCACTTTTCCATCTGAATGAAAGATAAGTGTAATCTATATTTTGAATAATGCAAAATAGAGGAAAAACTATATACTTTGAGGGGGGTGCAAGGGCATGGGGGAGGCAATGCTAACACTGCTTACCGAAAAGCCAAATGTAACATTATATAAAAACATCAAATACTTTAAAACTTGGAGGAGGAGTATATTCTATTTCTTCATCACTGCTTTCAGAACCATCTGCAAATCAGATAAGTTTGGAATGGAGGTGGCTTTATAGAGTTTACTAAGAATTCTAATTTTAAAATAATGCTTATTGTTGTTATAGCCTTTCAAAATGGTGATTTATTTTTGTGTAATGTGAGTAAACACAGATTAAGTTTATATGGAAAAAGAAAGGTAGGGGGGCTTCTCTATTAAGAACAAGTTTTTAAAAGAAAATTGGCATACAACCAAGTATGTAATTTCAGTAACATCAGCAAACTTGCCTTATGGATTCTTTTAACTTCTTTCTCCAAAGTCTGACAAAATTAATGCCTACTGTGAATAGAAGTATCAGTTGGAAAAGCCTGGGTGAAGGAAGAGTTCATCATTAATTTTATAAAGAGTGCAATCTGTCTGACTCACAGAGACACCCTGCAGTGGTAGACGACTGTTTGGCCAGATGAACCAGATGGCTTCCCAGGGTAAACAAGGGTTCCACAATATGACCCAAAATTTCAAGTAATGTATGTGCATATATACCACTGGATGACAAACATTAAAAGAAGAGGGAAGAGGGAGATGACCCACCATTTTTGTTTAAACAACTTAATGTTATTTAAGCATGCTTAATTTCTTTCATATTCTAAATGCTATACAGACGATGCTCATACAACTCGCAAATTGTATTGATCAAGTTATATTTATGTTTTGTTGTTTAGCCATATTCTGGCTTCACAATTATCTAATAAGGAAGGGACAAATAAAAAAAATCCCCAAGATTCTGTATTCTTTAATTAAGAGAAATTTGCGTTCACTTCAAGTGGCATTTTGCCAAGTTAAAGAATGAAGATCAGGATGTAGAGTAAAGGATCTTTGTCAAAATCGGTTTAGCTGGAATCGAGGCTGACTTTCTACTTTCAGCACTTTTCTGTAACGTATTGTATCATCCATTGGTTACTGAAGCAGTCAGATGTGACTAGATTTACTGAAGAGCTAGTTTGACTGATTTCTGACGAGTGAAGTGTTTTCAAGAGCACCAAAACCAGGATGTTTTGCAGAGACTTATTGCTTGCCACAAGACTGCAATTCATATGTAGGGGGAGTGGAGAAGAAACAAGGGGTTTCCTGAGTAAGTGGTTATGACTAGCAAACAGTCTTGTCCGTGGAAAACACAGCTTTTAACCTTCTTAATCCTATTTTATCAGACATATATAGTAACAACTGAAGCAGAAGAGAGCTATTCCTATATTGCAGGCAATTTCTATAACCAATACAATTCACACCTACACACACCCATTTCATGCAAACTCTAGAGATGATGTAGTAAATCATTTCTGCAGTAGACCAGGCAGACTCTAAAACTTTGATTCAATTAAAACTATCACAGACTTCATAGCATCAGGATTTGCATGCCGGTTCACCTTCGTGCTGCATGAAAACAGCAACTAAAGCTCATTAGGATGGCGAATAAATTCAACTTTCACTCCACATCTGAGACACAGTTAGGTATGCACATTGGTCTGCATGGTCAGGGTCAATTTGAGTTTTGTCTCACTCAGGGCAATTGGGATACTCAGTTTGTAAAGCCATAGGAAAAAAAAAATCAACCAAGAAAAAAAAAAAACTGTGAGTGTTGACTAATCATAACCAGCAATAATTTTTACTAAACAGTCGCAATGACCAAGGCTTTATTTGCTTCTTAATAAATGGTAGGTCTGCATTTCATATATCACAGCCCTGCCTCCAGAGTTACCTGGCTGCTCCAATATAAATGTTCTGTTTTACGGCTTTAACTGACTAAATGTAAACTAGCAAGCAAAGCCTAGCTGCTAAAAGGGAGTATAAGCTAGAAAGTTTTAAAGGTCTCCAGAGTATTGTATGCAGACGATCACTGCTGAAACTACTCAGCAATACACATAATATATGCTTATCTACTTTTGCAAATGTGAGACTGGTCTGGAACATCTGGAACCTGTATGTGTATGTGTGTGTGTATGTGAAGTACTTTCGGTTAGGCAACAGAGCCTAACGATGCCTCTCTTGTCCAAGACGGACCCTATTATGTTTCTGTTTTAATATCAGAAAAAAGCAGCAGTTTCTAAGGATACCTGGGGAGACATAACTGAATTCAGTCTATACATTTCAAATCAAATTAAAATTTCAAACCAAATTAAGAGTATAAGTATCATGACTTCAAAGGAATGGAGTCATTTCTGAATAATTATAGTTGATTTTCTAAATGGTATCTAAAAATCTTAAAGGAAGTACACTGTCTATGAATAATGTCTATGGACATATTTGGAAGCTTGAGAAAAAAAAATGTATCAACTAGCTATGAAAATATCAACTAGCTATGAAAATGCCTGAACATGATGCCTACAGAAAGCTGAGCATATCAGCAAGCATCAAAATCGAAAGAATGAGAAGCCTGAATTGTGGGCAGCATATAACAGCTCGTTGTTTTATGAACTAAGGCAGTACGACAGTGCGTATGCTTTAATTTAGGTGAACAGAGTTAGAATACTGGATTAATTATTAACATTTATTAATTGCTGGGATGAATTTTTTAAGTATCTATGACAAGCTTGAGTCTCCCCTGATTTCTGTGATTGAGATTAAATCCCAAATTAAATATTTGAGTTGGCATAATCTAAATGATGACAAATACAACCAGAACACTAATGATCTATTTACTTTTACTTTGATGGAGCTATGTATCCTTCCACAAAGAAGAAAAAACACTATTTATATTCTATTTTTTGTAATCACTAGGCCAGGAATTTCATTTTATATAACTTGATGAGTTGATTCAATAATTTGAATGATTGGTGAAGGGATTATTTTACAGAGAAGTACCCAAGCATCTGATCTGCTACTACATATTGATAGACTCTGAGGAGTTTCTGTGTTCCTCATTAGAATTAGAACAAAATTCAGCTCCATATCCTCAATATTTTTCTGATCAATAACATCTTTCAGGGTGCATTTTAAACTGATGTCAGTATTCTCTGTATTTTTGGGTCCTTCAGAAAGCAGGCAGAGAGAGGATTAGAACAGATGAGCGCATAAGTGTTTCCACAGATTATTAAATTTTGTATTCCTTTTGTCTGATTAAAAAAAAAATCAACCAAAAAAGATATTACTCTAACTTGAAATTGTGGCTTAGCAAACTAAGGATCAAAAAAATTATATCTAAGGATGAAATCCAATTCTATCATATCCCGTTATTTCCTTTCTAATGTATCTATTGATGTGCATGTGCATGCTGGCTACCCATTCCCTCCACACACAGCCAAAAAGAGTTTTGCAGCACCTTCCTAAAGCTCTTGGGTCCTTGGCAGATGTTCCAGACCAGTCTCACATATGCAAAAATGGATAAGCATATATTTATTTGTTTATCCCTCGATACAGCAATCAAGTAATCAAAAATGAAAACGAAGCTTAAATCTTCCATGCCAACCTATTTACTTCTAAAGACATGATGCAACTTAGCATCAAGTCAACCAAAAAAGTATTACTACGAGGTAGTCTAGGTATAACACTGTTAAATAGAAGAAAGTGGCCAGTTAGAGTTCCACAAAAGATATTTAGAAATTTTAAATGCATTTGGTTCCCCTCCACTTGATTTTCTTAAACACACAGACAAATTTGGTGCTTACACTGTCTGCTTGGAAAAAAAAATGAAGAAAGTTTAAGGAAAATAAATCTTGTACAATTTTGAGTTTTTACATGTAATGCCTGTGATCTTATATGCGAAAACAAAAGCTTCTGAGACAAATCAAAATATCATCACAAAAAATTGTCACTTGTAATGATTTGCCCTATTCAAATACAGACCCTGTTATAAATTCATTAAAAAAAATTCGTTATACATTAGAGAAAATTGAGAACGATTTGCAAAGAATCTGCAAACCGGAAAAAAATAAACTTAATTAAGTAATATATTACGAATGATTTTTGCAGATCTAATCACAATACCTTTCTACATTTGAGAATATTTTTCAGACACACGGGAGTTCCCAAATCCTTGTTAAGGCAGCAAATGAATTTATTAAGGGCCTGAGGCTGATATATTAAATATATTGCTGATTTTTAATAAGATTAAATATAAACTGTTACACATAACACTGCTCATGTCTAGAATACAGATGTGTCAAAACTGAAAACTTAAGCTTCTAAGCAAAACCATTGCAGCACGATATAGAAATGTAACATTTAAAGAACTCAAAATTTGCTGTATCTGTTTAATGTAGCTACAATTTAAAATTAAATAAGACCTTAAAGACAGCTTTTTTCTTGTAGGTCTTTGTAACAAATACATTACACTAAATATATTGTAACAAATATATTGCATTCATTAGACTGTTGTCTAATCTAAGTTCTCTAAGCTCTCCCGACAAGGATGATTTTATCATTGTATATTTATTGCTCTTCTTCGGATCCCTCCTTACATCTCTCCTTTGAGTAACACAAAGGAAATGATGACAGTTGGTGAGCTGAGCTGCTTCATTCCTTGCAAATAAATAAGGGCCCCCACATCTTCACTGACTGCGCAGGGGCTTATGTGCCTTGGTCATTGTTTGAGTCCATCTCTTATCATATGTTTAGGGTGTATATATATATATTTTGAAATAAGAATTATCTTTTATAGAAGGATGCCCTGACTGGGACTCAAATAGTAATACATACAATAAAAAGAAAAAAGAAATATTGTAAGTGATGACAATTTCATTCTAGAATGTGAGAGATCTTTCCTTGTGTGCCTTAGAGATTTTTCCACCTCTTCTTTTTCAGCTACCTGGGTTGGAGGAGGTTATATCAATGGGACAGCAGAAGCTGTATATGTGCCAGGCTACGGTCTAGCTTGGGCTCAGGCACCTATCGGATATTCCCTTAGTCTGATCGTAGGTAAGCAAGCAACAAAAGCTAATAGTCCTTCAATTTAAATAATTTTGATGATAAGACCATCATTCCAAATGCAGCAACCAGGACATGAAAAAAGGCCAATGAAGTAAATTGAATATCTTCTGCTGATAGACTATACCAGAAAAGAAAAACGAGGCATGGATCAAATACTATCTTAAGTTTCCCACATGCCTTGACAATACAAATCTGATCCATGCAACCTCACTAGTGAGCTATGGAGACCACAACAAGAAACACTTTGTTTGTTTGTTTGTAATATATACTCTATTTCATATATTCAGCTTTACTTCAAGTGCCTCTATGATCTGGAACATGGTAATATCAGGACACTTCAAAATCTTAGACCTTAAGAGTGGTTAATATTCTTTTGGGTTAGGAAAGTGCTATAAGCTTATAGATTTCCACAGACAGTCTAATTAATTTGCCTAATTTTTGCAGGAAATCTGTAATAGAACCAGTCTGTTGTCCTAAAATTGGACTAACCTTCCTCTTTAATGCAGTTTGAGGTTGTAAATCATATATCAAAATGCAAACACTTAAGACTGCTGTGTGCAGGGTCTGTGTCTAAAATACAGACCACATAGCAAATTTCCTCTTTTTTTTCCTTTTTTTTTCTTTTTTTTGTGCCTCTTATCCCAGAAATATAGTCTCAGTAATTTATTTTCCTTAAAAGTTATAATAATACAAAAATTCTCACTGTGTCTCAAATAGTGATGCAGTTTTTAACCAAACTGTTATGCTGTGAATCAACATATATATGCCACAAAGTTATCAACTGCATCCCCTCAGTTTGTGAACAGATCATGTCCCTAAGACAAGTGTTCATGCAACCACTAAAAATAATGTTTGCCAAAAAATCTGTGTTTTTTGTCTTTTATAATGATTGGTGTGTTGGCGTTTCCAGTAATATTTGATTTCTCCAGTCTATTTTGAGATGTGCTTTTTTTTCTTTTTACATGTCCCTCTCACCTATGCAGTCCCTTTGTTTTCTCTTCCCAGGTCTTCTTAACCTTTTTGTTTCTTTCTGTACAACTTGGTTTATATCACGACAACATGACTCTTTGTTCCCCCTGGAAATGCTTTCCCACTCTCTATCTCCTTTTATACTCTTTCTTCCCAGGCAATAACCTTACACATCGTGAATATCATTCTTTGCCTTGTGCAAGCCATCTCTACTTCCACTCATGGTTGTCATCCCTGAGAGTAGCTCTGTTTCACGTAAGGAAAACAATAATAGTAGATGCCTGCCTGGATCAGTTGTTGTCTTTGCGATGTCTTGAGGGTTATGATCCATTGATGTTATTGAGAGGTCATTGGGATCACAGCCACAAGCATCTGCCTGCTTTCTAGCCCCTGTATAACTAGGGCAGCTTAATAATAGCCCCCAAGGGGGTGTGTTAGCCTCTCCCCTCATTTCCAGCTGCTTTTAAAGAAATCCAGACATCTTCATCGAAATGGTAACTGCAGGTAACTGCGGAAAAGAGGAAAGTCTGCATTTTGTGACCGTATGGCTCTCTGTAGAGCACAGTGAGGAAAGCGTTCTGCAGGCATGACCTGTGCATGCAGAGCGGAAGGAGTTGTTTATCTTAAAAAAAATCAAAAATAGAAATAAATGGCTAGACATATTATATTGTTGCTTTAGACTGAAAAGATTTAAGATTTGTCTGATCTTCCTTTTCATTCAATGCTCCAGGTGTATGACTTTTCCTACTTTTTCATGCAGTTTAGATTTAAAAGTAGAAATTGCTTCTATTTCCTTTAATAGATGACTTAAGTGCCTAATAGATTATACTACCTTTTCTTTTATTTTTCTCTTCTAATTAGTTTCTGTGATGCGAATGTAACAAGTAGAATAGGAACAGGATTCATGAACAATGCAAACTGCTGGAGGGTTTTTGCATTCAACCAACCTGCCTTAAGACAGAGTAACGTAAGGGGTATAAGTGATTTTTTGGTTGCTAAACCAGTACCTTCTTTTCAGGGAACTTTATAAATGGAATGAGTGATATAAGTCAAGGCAAATAAATTTGTACAGTGTCTTGTACAATGAATATAATACCTGTTGTTATGAAGAACCTAATTAAGGGTCTTCAAATGCCACACAGTTGATTTTATTAGCATATAATTGCTTTCCTAGTTTTATGAGTGTAGCATATACATTACATTTCAGTAGTTTTATTTTAGTAGAGGTCCATTTAGTTATAGTCATGCGCAGATCTGATCCACACATTTCAATAAAATCTGCTATTTAGGTTTCCTGAGCTATATCCTTTTTTTGTCCCATACCAAAACATATCTAAGGGAACTTGAGGATTTTTGCACATTTATGTACATATCCAGTCCATATGCCAGTTAGAGTAGAATTGAGACACATCAGATTTCCTGAACATGCACAAAAATAGGAGTATGACAAATATGTAGAGAATCTGACACTTGCAGAATCAAGACAGCATCTGACCTATCCACAAAGTATAGTAAGGCTGATTTAAGCATACATTATAAATCTGAAATGTCTTGCAAAAATAGTGTGCACTATGCCATGCACACCATTGCGCCATGAGTTCGTGAGTGTGAACTCATATTTCTGAACCAGGAATCCTGGGCAATTTTATGTTTAGAGGAAAAAACTAAAAGACAGACCCACCATCACGGAGGTTTGAATACTAAGTCAGAAAAAATGACGTAGAAAACTTGATCCAAAATTTGCCAAAACTAGACAAATATTGATAAAACTTTAACAGCATTCATAACTTGAAGTCAAGTAAACTGAACAAGGCAAAATAAACTAAACTTGTTTTTTTCATTAACAGACCATAGACAGTAATGGTGTAGGTGTGCTATGTAACTCTGGATACCTAAGATAAACCTAAGGTGAATTCTTAAAGGACATTTTAATTGTACTTATTTATTTTAAAAAACACTAACACAGATATTTTTCTACCTTTAACTTACAATCAATGTTTTACCCTTTCACGGCAATGCATTTCTCCACTGCAGTTAGTCTTTTATATGCTACTTTTCTTTGTAGGTGGTCTGTTTTTCGCAAAACCCATGCGATCCAAAGGCTATGTAACAATGCTAGATCCTTTTCAGCAGATTTATGGAAAAAGAATGGGAGGGCTGCTCTTCATTCCAGCTTTAATGGGAGAAATGTTTTGGGCTGCTGCCATCTTCTCTGCTTTAGGTAAGGAATCAGCAATATAAATATTAGCTTATCACATGTGCAAAGGACATCAGAAGATGTCAGAAATCAGAAATGCACAAAAGTTTTGACTTCAAATGCTAACCATCTTAGACAAAGGATGCAGAGAAAGGTGAGTGTCTCAGGCCCATGGTACTCAATAATCAGAATATTGCTCACATAGATATCTATTCATTTTCAGTCACCCAGAAGAGTACCCTTTTCAAACAGTATGAAAAAAAATTAGCAATAAATTTTCTTTAATTGTAATGATGACATGAACAATTGCAACGTCCCTTTTATGTCAAAGTTGACCCAGCTACTCTTTTCCTTTGTAGGTATCACAGCAGATGGTATTAATTTCCTTTAAAGAGAGGGTAGTCATGTAGCTTTATTGTCAAAGGATCTAAATTATTTAATCCTTTGCATATAGGAAACCTAGACAGACAGAACTTTCTATCGCATAAAATATAGAAGTAAACCAGATGCTGATCAATAAATTCAAGTATTATTCAATTCTAAATGCCTTTCTAATTGCAAAAAAAAATGGAGAAAACATTTAGGATTCAAGAAAGGATGTAGAGAATTAGTGGAACTATGACTCAATAGAAAATCACCCAACTACTCATTCAGTCCTGAAAAAAGCAGTTTCCAGGGCTTTTAATTATATTTCAGGCCTACTCCTTCAAGAACTGAGAAAGCCCTTGACTTTTACTGGCAAATCACACTTACAGTGCACATGCATGTGGTAATGCTTTCTAACACAAGCTATTTTAAACGGAAAATAAACTTTGAAGGTACTCTCCAACTGTGTTCTGATGAACTGCAAAGCAATGGGGAGCTTGTTTACCATAATTTCATCACAAAACCCTTAAAGGTCTAAGAACAAACTACATGCTGAGGTGATAGGAGTTGAAGAGCTTGAAGAACTCTCTGTGTATTTGGAATAGACTTTCTTTCTGATTGAGGACAAGCTGATCTGTGATATTTCAAAGCAAGTGGTATGAATGTCTTTCTAGCAGAATGTATAATAAAAACTAATAGACAAAGACAATAAAGGTGACTGAAAGCCTCTGTTTTAACTGTTCTCTAAATAGACCTGACTATATTATACCTCCTAATCCACGTAGAGACTTAATCAATGAAGATTTAATTTCAATTTTCTTTACCAGATTGTTTATCCTCTTAATGATTCATTGTTTGGCAGGGTTCATTTAAATCATCCTGATCAGAGGGAGAGAGATGTTTATAAGTAGGGTTTATGAAGACTGAAATCACTTAAAATAGCTAATTCACCTAAGACAAACGTATATGCATCCCAACATTTGTTGGAAAGTCAATACAGCAACTCAGGAGGTTTTCAGAATGATAATAATTTCCTGACACAGGTGACTGAGCATTCAATGAGGGAAGATGCTCAGCTGGACGGCATACTTGTGAATACAGAAGAACTAGTGAATATTGGGTTACAATGACCATGAGATGGTAGAGTTCAAGATTCTCAGTGGAAGGAGCAGGATAAATTGCAGAACTGCAACCCTGGGCTTCAGGAGAGAAGATCTTGACCTCTTCAGGGACCTGCTTGGAAGAACTCCCTGGGAAATAGTCCTGATGAGGAGTCCAGAAGAAATGGTTGATTTTCAAGGATGCCTTCCTCCACATATAAGAATGGTCTGTCCCAACAAGGAGGAAATCAAGCAAAGGTAGTAGGATGTTTGAATGGATGAACAAGGACCTGTTGACTAAATTCATATATAAAAGGGAAATGTAATAGAGGGAAGGCATGTGACCTATGAGGAATGCAGAGGCAATGTCTGAGCATGCAGGGATGCAGCTAGGAAAGCCAAAGCCCACTTGGAACTGAATCCAGCAGTAGATGTGATTGGCAACAAGGATTTCTACAGATGCATTGATGTTAGCCAAAAATACACCAGCGGGGTTGAAGACCTGATGCTGAATGGGGCAAGTGCTCTAGTTACAAAGAGCATGGGAAAGGCCAAGGTACGCAAGGCTTTCTTTGACTCGGTCTTCATTAGTAATAGCAACTTTCTGCAACCCTGGCTCCCTCAGACCACAAGAGAAATATGGAACAATGACGACTTGCGCTCGGTGGAAGAGGATCAGATTAGGAAACCTGGACATACACAGGTCGACAGGACCTGATGAGTTGACCCATGAGTGCTGAGGGAGCTGTCTGATGTCATTTCAAGGCTACTCTCCATTATCTTTTTAAGGCTATGGAGATGAAGAAGAGTCTTTGAGGTCTGAAAGAAAACAAGCATCACCTCCCTCCCCACCTTCAGGAAGAACTTTTGACACTGTCTCCCATAACATCCTGCTAGATAAATTGATGAAATACAGGCTAGACAAGAAGACTGTGAGATAGATCAAACAGTGATTAAAATCCCAGGCTCATAGGGTTGTGATCAAGAATATGAAGTCCAGATGGAGGCCAGTCGCTAGTGGTGTACCCCAGGGGAATATATTGGGGCCAATACTGTGTAACGTTTTTATTAGTGACCTAGATGATGGGACAGGGGGCACCTCAGCAAGTCAGCAAATGATGTAAAATGGGAATGGCTGTGCTGCCATTCATAAGGACCTCACCACACTGAAGAAACAGGCCAGCAGGAACCTCATAAAGTTCAACAAAATTGACAAATCCTGCACCTGGGAAGGAGTAACCACCTGTACAAGGATCATAGAATCATAGAATCACTATGGTTGGAAAAGACCTTGAAGATCATCAAGTCCAACTGTAAACCCTTCACCGCCATGCCTGCTAAACTGTGTCCCTAAGCGCCTCATCTACACATTTCTTGAACACTGCCAGGAACAGTGACTCCATCCTGACTTCCCTGGGAAGCCTGTTCCAATGCTTCACCACTCTTATCATGTAGAAATTCTTCCTAATGCCTAACCTGAACCTCTCCTGGTGCAACTCAAAGCCATTTCCTCTTGTTCTAACTGTAGTTATTCTGGAGTTATTCCTGCCTCACTACAACCTCCTTTCAAGTAGTTGTAGAGAGTGATAAGGTCTCCCCTGAGCCTCCTCTTCTCCAAACTAAACAACCTCAGCTTCCTCAGTAGCTCTTCATAAGGTCTATGCTCCAACCCCTTCACTAGCTTTGTTGCCCTTCTTCGGAAACATTCCAACATCTCAATATCTTTCTTGTAGTGAGGGACCCATGGGACACAATATTCAAGGTGTGGCCTCACCAGCACCGAGTACAGTGGGATGATCACTTCCCTGGTCCTGCTGGCTACACTGTTGCTGGTACAAGCTTAGAGGCCCTTGGCCATCTTGGCCACCTGGGCTGAGAGGCTGGCTCATATTCAGCCAACTGTCAACCAACACTCCCAGATCCTGTTTGCCACACAGCTGTCCAGCCACTCTGCCTCGAGCCTGTAGCGCTGCATGGGGTTGTTGTGACTGAAGTGCAGGACCCAGCACATGGCCTTGTTGAACCTCATATGTTGAACCAACCTTGTTGGCCCACATGAAGTTAAAGCAGTTTTGTGCAATGGCCCCGGCAATCCTCATGTACAACAGGATTGGAACAAGAGCCATCAACAGGTCGTTGCAGAAAAGGACAGTAGCAGCTTAGGTTGCATAAGGCAGAGTGCAGTCAGGAAGTGGAGGAAGGTGATCCTTCCCCTATACTGAGCCCTGAAGAAGCTAGTGCTGGGCTCCTCAGTAGAAGACAGACATACTGCCTAGAGACAGGACACAAAGAAATGATCACAAAATGAAATACAGGAAATTCTGTTTAAACCTAAGAAAACCCTTTTTTTTTTACTGGGAATATGGTCAAATATGGGAACAGGTTTCCCAAAGGGAAAGGTAATTCCCCCGTCATCAAATGTACAATGACATACAGTGTTTTGTTTTTCTGCACAGGTGCCACAATAAGTGTGATCATTGACATTAACATCAATATTTCGGTCATTATTTCTGCCCTGATTGCAACTATGTACACTCTTGTGGGTGGTCTATATTCTGTGGCCTACACGGATGTAGTCCAGCTCTTCTGCATCTTCCTGGGGCTGGTGAGTTTGGCTTTATTTTTTTCCCTTCTTTGTAAAGACATGGGAGATTTTGCCTTGAGCAATATGACAAATACTGTTGCTTTGTACCTATGGCTTATATTTTGAATTGTATCATCTCCACTGACGATGGGATCTGATGATGAAGGGGAGAGGAGGAATATCTCCACTTAAAGACCAACTTTACAGAGTCTGCATTATATTAGTAAACAGCCTGTGCTTGGACCGCAATGCTGACAAGCCTAATTATTCTTTTTTTTTCTTTTTTTCTTTCTTTTTTTTTCATATATAATCAGTGTGATAGTGCGGTCTTGTAGTTTCCCCTCCGGATATAAATCTATCTCAGGATAGGCTGGAGGTGATTCCATCCCTACCTGTCCCTGAGGCTGTGGCACATCACTGGGGCAAGATATCAAAGTCAGAGAGCAGCAAGGAAATAAGCCCAGAAATGTTGGAATTGGAACTGGAGAGCTGAAATGCTCTCCCACTTCTCTTTCCTGTACATATTCATACCACCTACCTGTGGCAGCTAGGTTAACCTCCTGTTTTAAATCACCTTTGGGATTCTTCCCTTATTTCCCTCCACTGATCATAGACACCATAGTCTGGAGAGGCTTACCAGATGACCTGCTGTTTGAATATGGTGGTACGAATATCCTCTCATCTGCAGTTAATGATATGCTAGTTGGGTGGCCTTTGGGGTTTTTTACTGCCTTTGTTTAAGCCTTAGTTTGAAAAACATTAATGCAGAAGATCTCTGGGGTCAAATCACAGGGACACAGTGAGGGGAGCTGCTGCCTTCGTTTGCCAGTGCCAGTAACAGATAGTTGCAGGTGTTCAGGGATCTGAGACATGCAGAAATAAAAGGACTGGCCAAAGGTGAAGGAACTGAACGGTACCTTAGGGAACCACAGCATTTTCTCGGCTTTCAACAGAGTTTTTGTGTAGCTCTGGGGCAATTGCTTCAGCCAGAGCTTGCACACAGGTGGTCACTAACCATGTGTGAGTCCTCGCTCTGTGTCTTCCTACAGTGAGGCCTGTTGCCTTACTTGCAGAAATGCTAAACATTCCCAGTGGTAACCGACTTCATGGGATGGTGCTGAATGCTCTGAAAAAGGCAAATCCAAGTTCCAGACGGCCTCCTCAAGATAGTAGTTACTCCAGATCTTATTTGCTAATACTCATGACATGAACAGTGGGGAAAATATATCCCTTTCTCTAATGTGTATGTTAATATGTGTGATCCGTTCAGTTTCCACAACTTCCCCAAATAAATAAATAAATACCTATGTAGATAAATCACAATATAGAAATGCTTCTCAAATGAGGATTACTCATGCCCTGATCCTGTGGGAAGAATAATGTGTGATCCTGCAATTAAAGACAACAGGAACCTGGCAAGGAGGGTGGGGGACAAATGAGGGTCACAAAGTAGTCCTTGAAATGCTTGTTTTTGAAGCTTTAATGGTGTTCTTTTACTTCAGTTTTTGATCTTTATGAATTTTCCCATTTAAAATAGACAATAATGTCATGTAGGAGGAGCCATTTCTGTAATTCCATATATAATGGAGCTGAAAGATTTGCATAGAAGTACTAATTGGTCAAGCTCTTCATGATGTGGTTTTAGATAGGCCACTTACTTCCACAGCAGGAGGAAAAGGGGATCTAGCTGTATAGACACAAGCTATGACATGTCAGTGAGCTGCAGGGCCAGTGTATGTGCCTTGACTTGTTTTATGACCAATGCAGAGATAGTCCTTGAGACCATAAAGAACTAGGTTGCTGTCAGGAACCTGAGTGGATTACAAGAGCTCATACATAATGAATTTTCAATAGAGTTCCTATTAAAACCTGGGCTGTGGGATGCAGGCTGCAGATCGACTCTGTTGACCCTCCTAAAATGCTCATCTGAGTGTGTCCAAACTGCTGTTCTTCAGAAGTTTATCATATGTACAAATTTTAGATTTGAGAGTCAGAAGCAAGAAAAAAAAAAGAATCCATTTCATATTCTTGTTTCCTGTGATTTTTTCAATAAAAAAGAGTGTTATCATCTTTCATTTTGACAAGGTATACTCTTTTTTCCCTCAAAATATCTTGGAGATAGTTGAGACATTTTGGTGATATTTCCTCAAAAAATCAGTGAAAATTTATACCCAAGGACTCAAATGGCAAGTAATACATTAAAGAAAAGTGACCTGCTGCATTTGATAAATAATCTGAATAATAGGCAGCGCTGCCAAACATAAAAATAGTTCAGATATTCTTCATTTAGTGTTACAATAACTGTGAAACAAAATAGACATATGATTTCTCCCCTCTTCACTGCTGTTAACCCCATAGATTTAAATGTGATCATTTGAATAACAGCAGTCTGCATGTTTTTCGATGTCATTGAAGGCTTAAGAGTGCTGTGCTAGAAACGATGTATTCCATACAGCACAAAACCTGGTTTTCCTTTCAGTGGAATCTATGCAGAATCCAAAGTGGGGCATCTGACGACTTATTTCATTGTGAAATAGACAGGATGTAAAATAGCATTCATGCTCAAAAAATTGGTGGGATGAAAGAAAGCACCCTCTGGCAGAAACCTTTTCTGAGTAGGTTTTGTCAATTGATCTTTTGGCCCAGATCAAAAAGAGAATTATTTGAAATAGACCAGAGTGACCATGTTCTCTAGGTAGAATGTGCTGTAGCACTGAGCTGCCGGAGCAAGAAACACGGGGATTCACCTACAGCACCTCTCTGCTGTCACCATCTAGCTTTGTGTTGAATTCAAATCCTTTCCCAAGCATTTGTATGTATTTGTGATGTCTCACACTTGTTTACTGGCAAATTCTGGCATTATTGCTTGAGTTTACTTGCAGATATTTCTCTATGGTATGACCCAGAGGAAGGTGTAAGGAATACTTGTAGAGTATAGTGTAAGGAGTAAGGAATACTTGTACTTGCAGACATTTCTCTGTGTAAGGTGTAAGGAATACTTGTAGAGTATAGTGAAGATGTATAAATGTGTATTTCTTACTGATGGTATGATTGGTTTCTTTTTCCCAAAGCTTTCAAAAGTTTGGGAAACACAGATTTACACTGATTAATTCTTGTACCCAGAACTTTAAGCTGGAGAGGTGAGGTAAGCTCTCCATTGCTATTCCATTATTTCTGGATTTTAGGGGTGTTTGACTGGAACATAGCTTGACTCTACAACTCAACTTTGCATTTGATCTGTAGTGTGCGAGAAGAAAAACAGACCAATGTTAATATTGTAATGTCATGGGTTTAACGTGCCTCGTTTAGACTCGAATGAAGCATTATTCTTTGGTTGCAGTGGATCAGCGTACCCTTTGCAATGTCACATCCTGCAGTGACAGACATTGGGCTCACGGCTGTGCAAGAGGTGTACCAAGCACCTTGGCTTGGATCTATTAACTCACTTGACATTTACACATGGTTGGACAATTTCCTTCTGCTGGTAAGTCATGACTTGTACAGAGGAATTGTATGTTTAAGAACTCATAGTACGTTACTGGGACTTATGAAAAAGTAGAGTCTATTTAAATGTTTCCAGTAAACTGAAGTTTTTTACCCTCTTGACTCCTGCTAAGTATTTCTGGGCATGTGAATGATTTTAGTGAAATATCAATAGGATGCCGTAGTGCAGCTGTCAGACTCAGCATCACCAGTAACGCAATTTAAATATCGTCAGCTTGAAAGAGTTGACTTATACTAAAACTAATTAAAAGTGTGTGGCTAACACCTAACTGTTGTCATTCTTGGCCAAGAAATATGTGTATTGCAGGAGGCAATGTATAAATTTATACAAGGGATTAAATACACCTTAATTACAGCTGTTGTAGAAAAAAAGCTTTGCAGAGATGGATGGATGGATTCATATATACACACGTGCCAGAATGAGCTGAAAGCTGCCATTATTTAAAATCAGTTTAAAACAATTGCATATGGGATTGGTGGTTATTAAGTATTTTCCATTATAAAATCTAACCACAAGTGCTAACATTTTCCATTCCCAGTGTCCCTGAGCAATTCTATGCTGTTTTTATTATCATATTCTGGCCTGGGATTTCTTTCTTTTTAAAAAGAATTTTCAGCCAAAGATCTTCAGAGTAATAATTTAGCTAGGAGAATATATTGTTTTATCCAGCTTAGGTTTTTAAAGATAGCCAAAGATCCAAAATATGACACTAGCTAAAACAGTTAACCTTGTTTTGGTAATATTACAGTTTCTTCTCTGCCTATGACCAAATGAATGCTTTAATGCTGTGAAATTGTCAGATATTTGCTTTTCACTCTGCCTGTTTCTTTATAGATCAAGACATTTACACATGCTTAGACAGCTTTATTAAGGGAATATTATTAAGGTTGCAAAGGGCAAAACTCATAAATAGCATGTCAAAATCAGAGTTGCTTGTGCAACATTCATTTGGTCCCTGTATGAACATGAAACACGTATGAAACACCTGCATACGCAGTGTTAGGTCTATATGCCTCCTGCCTTATTTGACATGTAGAATTGGACAGTGCACTTTTAGTGAGGAATTAGTTTACACACTGTTTACTTTCCATGCTATTTAGTCATAGGTCCTTTTACTTATTGGAGACTATTCAAATTCTACTCTGAAGAGGTTTTTTAACCTTTTTTTTCAACCTTCGGTAATACTTTATTTGTGTCATATTTTGTAGATAAAATTTTAATCATAAGCAGGTCTTCTCTGTTATATACTTAATCCAAAAGAAGGGTTGCCACCACAAAAAAAAATGTTTACGCTCTTGTGCTTCTTGTACTTACTTTGTATTGGTAGCATGCTTGCTTGAGATTGTGCAAGAACAGTTCTTTAGATTCTTGTTAAATTTATATAGAACATATTTAGATGGCCACATGCATTCATGAAGGTAGATAAAAAGCTTCCTTCTAAATCTTCTCAGTGACTAAACTGATTGAGGTGAGAGGAGGATACTGAAAGCCAGATTCTCCAAGTATGACATATGGCAGTAGTATTTTATGACTTTTTATAAGGCTTTATTAAGTATTTATGCAGCTCAGAATACCTTGGAATTACAGTGGATTACACATATGCAAAGTATTGATGCTAATTGTATAAAGGGATAAGCTGTCTAAAAGAGTGGGATTTAACTGAATTTGAAAAATACTAACATTACTTGTGAGAATGCAAGTTACAGCAATTATTGACTGATTGAGATTCAACAAATAAATAAATGAGCAGCAAATGGGGAGAGGAGCATATTCAAGAGATGCTTCTATGTGTTATAAGGATAGCAAGGAAATCCACTGTTACATCCTAGTAACAGGATGCTGCTCATCATCTTTGCAGACACTAGGAGGAATTCCTTGGCAAGCATATTTCCAGCGAGTTCTTTCTTCATCTTCTGCCACATATGCTCAAGTTCTGTCATTTCTGGCTGCTTTCGGTTGTCTTGTAATGGCTCTTCCTGCAATACTCATTGGTGCGATTGGAGCATCCACAGGTAAATAATTCAATATAAATATAAATGTGTAAAAAAATCACAAAACTTACGGTAGATAAAATCAAAGAAGATAGCACTATTAATCAACTCCTAGCTTCTTAAATGGGAGACCGCACTGAAAAGTAATATTATGAAATGATTTTTCCCAAGGAAATCATTCCTATCCTCGTTATTGAAATGAAATTATTTTACGTGTTCAGAGTTGTTGCAGATGTGATATTTCTGTTAATGTTTTAGTTATATCCTAATACTATCATTTGGTCATAATGACAATAACTGCAAAAACTGTGTATGTATTGTAGTCGTTTCAGGGAAGCCATTTACCAAAGATTTCTCATCATACCCGTATTTTTGTCAGCTTCTTTCTCATAGTGAGAGTGATTCCTCTCACAATGACCATGTAGCTACACTGCAGAAGCCATTTTATATTAAAAAAGCTTGACATATAGCTCTTACCTGTAAGTCTGTAATCAAGCGAGTTAAACACATTCCTACCAACATGGATCCCAGGCTTGTTTTCTTGGGACAAATAATATTTACGAGTAATGTAAACTTTTAAAATTCCTGGAGGATAATCACTGGCTGTGGTCAAATTTAGCTTAGAGATGAGAAGTGAAAAGAAAAATGATGAGCAGAATTAAATCTGCCTAAAAGAAATCAGTGGGACAAGGAGTTTTTATAATGTCACCCAGCCTCAGCAATGATTTGGATTGGTCATTGAATGTGAGTAAAAATATGCCAATTCATAGTAGTTCATTTCATATGAGGTCAAGATATTCTGTAACTAATAATTTATGTCTATATTGCAGCCTGGAATGAGACTGATTATGGTCCTCCTGACCCCATGACTAAAAAAGAAGCAGATATGATTTTACCAATTGTGCTTCAGTATCTTTGCCCAGTGTACATCTCCTTCTTTGGCCTGGGTGCTGTATCCGCTGCTGTGATGTCGTCAGCCGACTCTTCAATTTTATCAGCAAGTTCTATGTTTGCTCGGAACATTTACCAGCTTTCATTTCGGCAAAATGTGAGATTACATTTTCACCCTTTTTACGTTTAGAGGAAATAGGTGATGCTATAACTAGATGAAGCATAAACTGCCATTACACGCTGAAACATCTCTTCCACGTTCCTGTCTCTGACTAGAAAAAGTAGAGCATTTCTTTCCCAACAGTATTTTGAATGAACTAAAAGCCATAAAAATGTTTATAGTTGTGACTGACCATAAGCAAAGAAGATACATTAGGCAGATTGCTTTCAAGTGTTTTCAGTGGCACTTAAGTTTATCCTGACAGTTCCTAATTATTGCTGTCACCATCAGTTTTACTTAAATTCTTAATGAAACAAGACATCTTTCTGAATTATTAATTTATCAGGAAATCAATTAACACATGAAAAATGTACAGAATGGACTAGCAAGTGGATGTTTTCCTAGGGAAGTGGAAAAAAGAGAGATTTTAAAACTTCATAATATTTTTCTGTTGATCCATATTGTACTTATTTTTTAAATTAATTTCTACCGACCTGTTTTTGCTTTCTTCCTTGCCAAGCTGTGAAACTTTTCCTTATGCTTAAAGATTAGCAACGGCTTTGGGAATGCCAACTATAACCTTTGATTCTTTTTTTTTTCTCTGTGTTTGAATTTGATACAGACATATTACTTTGTAAAGTGTTGTTAAATACGTCATGCAAAATTTCTTTTGACAATGTAATATTCAATACAGACTATATTCAGAAACGAAGGCATATGTATACATATGTATATATATGCCTGTGTGTGTATATATTGATATAAACAAATCTAACACTGCACTCCTTTTGCAGGCCTCAGACAGAGAAATCGTATGGGTCATGAGAATCACTGTTTTTCTCTTTGGAGCATCAGCAACAGCAATGGCATTGCTAGCTTCATCTGTGTATGGCCTGTGGTACCTCAGCTCTGATCTCGTTTATATCATCATATTCCCTCAGCTCCTGTGTGTGTTATTTATTAAAGGAACCAACACCTATGGTGCCATTGCAGGATATTTCTTTGGCCTTCTTCTCAGAATAACTGGAGGGGAACCGTACCTGTACCTTCAGCCCTTGATCTACTATCCTGGCTGCTATCCAGATGAAAATAATATCTATGTCCAGCGATTCCCATTTAAAACACTTGCTATGCTTACCTCCTTCTTTACTAACATTATAGTCTCCTACTTAGCAAAATACCTATTTGAAAGTGGGACTTTGCCACCAAAACTGGACTTCCTTGATGCTGTTGTTTCAAGATACAGTAGAGAACACATGGACAAAGCAACTCTTGTAAAAAGTGACAATATTGTATTAAATGAACTTGCACCTGTGAATCCACGGCACAGTCTGACTTTGAGCTCAACTTTCACAAATAAGGAAGCTTTCAATTATGTTGATTCGAGTCCAGATCTGTCCAATACCGAAGATAATTAAAGTCTGGTATCCCCAAACAAAGTAGCGCAAAACAGGACAGCCTACAAAGAACAGTAAGAGGCCTTTTATCAGAAGAAAAGCAAGAACTGGGAATGTACAATTCTTTAAATTGTTTCTAGGAAGAGGAGCATCTCGTGAAAGAAACTGTTTATGTTATTATCTAACATGTTGGATTAGCACTCAGACCCCATTCTTTCCACCAAGAACTATATACCGTATCATTTTAAAAATATTTAAAAACGAAAATATACAAAACAGAAAAGTGCAGCTGTCATTTAGCTAGAGTATTATGTGAAGAATTTATAATACAGTCACTCTGAGATACTATCAGTAGACATTTTATTGGCATTAAGTGAAAATATATTGTCACAGTTGTAAGTGATTTATTGCAAAGGAGCTTTTTGCTTGAGCCAAGACAAGAAACTTCCTTGGGTTTCTTGTCTGTTTGTTTTTTTCCTTATAATGAATTTCAAAGACACAAATTTACTTTTTTGTTATTTGTATAAGATGGAGAAATGCGCAAATAATAACAAATTCCTTATGGGTGTTAAATATTTATTAACAAGTGAAAATGAATTCCCAGCTTAAAATCAAGTTATACTTTATGCAAGACAACCTTAAGCAAAGTATGTTAAGATAGGTGTTCTTTTTTCCTGGTCTTGAGTGGCTGTCACCAGTGCAGGATATATATATATTTTATAGCAATAATTGACGTTGAAACTCAACTTGGGAAAAATATTGAGAATGTATGTTTTTACAAACTAAATATAACATTTCAAAGTTGAGAAAAGCAGTTCTACCTTGTCATCAAAATGAACGCTGAGTGAAGGAAGCAGTCTGATGCCATTCAACTGCAGCAGTGAACAAATATTAAAAAGTAAAGAGAGTCAAGAAGGTTGCTTGAAACAGAAGAAAGGGTTTTCCATGGGGAAAATTCCTATTTTTCACTGAAAAGTATATATATTTATATTCTTAGAGAACTCCAACGGTCTTTTGTGTTGAACTTGCTGGGATTAATCTGAAAAGCGTAAATTTTCCGTGGAAAAGCATATTGTCTTGAAAATTTGACTTCCCAATGGAAAACAGGCTTGCTGAACAAATTTCCACATTGGTACATGTCTACCTCCAAAAGCAGCGCCAGTTTGGAGAGAAACTGAAAGCAAAGGCAAATCCACAAGTGTAGCCAACTGCCCAGTCCACTGAACGCTGTGCTCACTTATCGAGATTGATCAGGAGGTCAATCCTGTTGCCCATGTACAATGCTGGCACTGTCCAGGAGCAGGCAAGACTTCACTCATACCTGGCAACACTGGTCAGGAGCAGTAAAGCAGGGAGATTAGGCCCCTTCTGTCTTTGCCCTGACCATCAGGGAATACACAGAGCTGTTTCTGCTTGCCCACAGCCTAGATGATTGTGTCTGTCCCAATGGGTATGTGCCTTCTGCAGCGGGAGATCTAGCCACTAGATTTCTGTACTATTAACAACATTAACTCCATGCATGACACAAAATCTTCAGCTGAAATTCAGCTGTCCTCCTGATGCTGGTCATTTGTGAAAATTTCTTCTGTAAGTAAGTGTAAGAGTAGGTTTTGCTGCTAAAGGAAGAAGCCATCAACTTGTGCATTCAGCGCTGACATAAACTTTCACAAGGTTGAATCCTTAGATATGTTTTTGCTCCTTTTGTGGAGTCTTAACATCATATATATATATTTTTTTATATGTACATAAAATTAAATTTATGTACATGTAACTTTTTCTTCTCCATACACTTTGTTTCAAAAAAACCTCTCCATCTCACTTCTGAATATGGACTGTGAACTGCAGTACTACTGTCTACTGTGCTAACAGATATTAGGTGTGCTCTGGGTAGAGGGAATCAAAATAAGGAACAGGTCTGCAGAAGGGTCAATACAGCACAGAAATCACAATTCCTGTGGAGTAAGTGAATGGGTGGCCAGGGAGATTCAGAGTCCTGAGATGCTCCCAAACCAGACATGAGCCCAGCAGCCTTTATTCCTCACTGAATCACAGAAAAGAGAAGGGGAAAGGTGTCATACAGAAGACAGAAAGAGAATGGGGGAGCAGGGAGGAGGAGGGGAGAGAGCCGCTTGTCAGGAATTGTTTAAAATATTTTTTTTAGAAAAGAAAAATCATTCAATTTCTATTGCGCTTCTATTGTGTGCCATAAAAACATAAAAAAACTTGAAACGCTCAGAATAAATAGTTAAATGGCAAAATAAAAAGTTTTCATCCAAAAATTTCAAACCACATGCTTTCAACAAGATCAGAAATCAGAATATCTCCTTTTTTTTCCTTTCCCTGATATTTTTCTGAGATCACTGTGATTTTACAAAGCTTTTTTGTTTAGATAGAACTATGCATTCTATAGTGGCAAATGGTCAAAAAGGTTTCTAGTCCTCTTCAGGAAAACTGGAAACACTGGACCCTGGGTGTGTAAGTAAGTTGGATGTCTATAGGTAGTAAACCATGGAAGATTTATCATACAACAGAGAGAAGCAAACATTGAAGACTGAATGCAGTGTGACAATCACTGTGGTTTCTACACACCAAGTTTCCAACAGTGATTGCAGTGATGGGCTGCATTCTGGATTGAAAGAGCCCAAAAGCCAAACTAAACAATCCTGTATAAGAGGTGATAATAGTTTCTCTTGCCTGTGCTCAGCTAACCCAGCATTAGAAGTATATAAAGCTGTTGTATATAACCAAAGGCCATATAGATTGATAATTACAAAAAGAGAGAAGAAAACAAAATGCAATCAGGTTATTTTCAAGAGGAAGAAGCCAACAAGATGTGAGTCTTCAAGTATACTTTATTTTGTTGTAAATCATGCAGTGTTCCTTCCTCGGTTTTGTAGACAGGGGTACTGTGGACTAAATTATTTCTACAATCAGTGAAGAAAAAAGTTCATTTTCAGACATTGAGATTATTTTTTTCTGAGTCCACTACTTGCAAATGAAATATTCATATCATGATTATGTATTTTACGTTCATATTTTTAACATTTCTGTGAATAACTCTTATTTGACAGGGGATTTTTTATCTCCTTTGCATGAGATGTGTTCATAAAATTGAGGTTAATAAATAGCTGAGATGTCAAGAACAGTTACAATTTCATCTATATTTGTCCATGTGGGATGATATATGTGTTATAAGCAAAATATTCTTTTGTGAATCTGAACTGAATGTAAACGTTAAGTAAGTGGATCAAATAAAGTCAGATTTAGCCTTTTATTTTCATATAGTACAATAACTTAGGATTTCAAATATAACTATCATAGGAAAAAACAGTTATTCATTTTTCCTTCTGCCCTTCAAGTGTATTCGATCAAGTATAATGTGCAGTTAGACAGTAAGTTACTGTAAGACTGCTATTTATCAGGGCAGTATCAGTGGCTGTTGTATAAAAAAAAATGTATATTTTTGTCTGTGTCAGAAATGTTATATTAAGCCTATACCTGACAAATCAGATAGGAAAGATTATATATATAAATATATATGTTTTAACCGCATTTGTATTGTATTGAATCGTGCTCATGCAATTCAGGAGAATACTGTCTAGTTTCGGGTTTGTTCTGTCCAGTTACTAAAAATAAAGGCATTTATTTTGTTACCACTCAGCGTCACCTGCAGTTTTGCATCAAGGCCATATCCCAGTAGAAGGAAACCAGTGCCTGGCCAAGTGGGAGCAGGTCCCCTCCAGGGTGACCAGCAGGGCAGTGGTGCTTGCAAGGCTCTGCCCTGGAACCAGATTGCTCTTTTTTTCCTGGTGAAAGAGACATTTGTACTGGAACATAAAGTCCTCCTCGTGTTGCATATGTCATAAACACAATTATTTAGAAATCAGAACTATAAACGGAATTAAAACTGAAGCTCTGCATTTATCCTCTAATTAGAGGCTTGATCGAATGCCCACTGAAGCCAAAGGGAAGATCCACATGGTTGACTGCTATGATGATACTTTTCAATTACGTTTATCTCTAAGCTTCTCTACAGAAAAATGCACGGGCAATAGTATCCACTCAAGGATGGGGAAAGTAAGGGACCCTCTTCATTTTCCAGGACACTGAAGTGCTCATTCATGGAGGGAAACAGAGATTAGGATGTTCAAACAACATTACATAGTTTGGATATTTCCTTGAGACATTAGGGCTCTAGTTACACAGAATCACAGAATGGTTAAGGTTGGAAGGGACCTCTAGAGATCACTTAGTTCGATCCCCCTGCTCAGGTAGGGACAACTAAGGCACGTGGCATAGGGTGGCATTCAGTCATTTAGATCTATCATTTTTCAATGTGATAGTGGGGATGAGTGATAAAACAACCTTTAAAAAAAAAAGATTTTGTTAGTGAAAACATCATAGGTTTCTCTCATGAAAATTCTGCATTTAAGACATTTAAGACATTTTTAATAGGTCAGAATGGAAGAAATTCTGTCACCCTACAGAGTCAAAAAGGTTAAAAAAAAAAAAAAGCATGCACTCATTATTGCTCCAGAAGTATTAACAAACTTTTCTGCCACATAACATCATGCGTGCAATTTTACATGCAGGCTAGCTGTGGCCAAAACCACACCACTGTAACACCCTCTTCCCTTAAAAAAAAAAAAAAAAAAAAAAAAAAAAACACCCATTGCCCATCTCTATAGAGCATGAGATTTAGAAGTACCATCCTTAAACAGATTAGAATGAACAGTAGTGTATTTGGTGGGAGATGTATCCTTTTCTTATTCTGGTCTAGATATCCATTCTTTTTGTACCGTGGAGTTTACACACTTGTAGATGATTTATACCACAGCTTTCATAATAGTGACCACAGTGCAAAAGGATGCTACACAGCTCTCTGCTATATATAGCATGGGAAAAACACACACACACAAAGAAACAAACGAACAAATACAAGCAAACTTGTTGCTGTTGTCTGAGATAATATTGTGAGTGAGCCAGTCATTTTAGGTCACCCTTTGGATCTCATTGCCTTAGACAACACAGATGGTGTTATGCACTAGG